TATTAAGCAATGATCGAATCAAGTAAATAAAATGTTCAAACATAATTTATATTCAAAATTTAAACCTCATACCTTACATTTCATTATATATGTAGGTTTATATTGGATCAACTCGATCCATTTTCAACTAGATAGAAAGAAAATAGGGGAGGGGGGAGGGATGTTTTTTTGGGCAAGATATAGATAGGTGAAAGAAGCATTAAAATGGACAAAGTAATTTCAAAAATCTTAAAACTATATTTTGTTAAATGATTTTAAAATTCCTCTTGTACTATCTTAATATATTAGTTTTTAATTTAATTTTGAAAACTAAAAGTTGGAAACTTAAATATGTTAGTTTTGAAAACCAAGAGATATTAGTTTTTAAAAATATTTTTTGAAACCAAACAAGTTTTCTTTTTAAAAAAAGAATTTTCAAAAAAGACAAACAAACCGTCAATACATTTATACAAAACTTTCTCCTTGAGAACCCATAATGAAGTTGTAGATAATCAACTAAAATTCAATCCACAAAATTATTTGATTTATGAACAACAAGGTCGTGGTATAGAAAAAAGAAGAAGAATATGATAAGAACTACCGTAAGAACTAGGGCTACCAGAACAAAACTAAGAAAGATTTAATTCAGAATTTCATCCTTCCTCTTCAATTCCAGATATTCAGGTATTAAATACCTCTTACAATGGTCTAAAGAGACCTTGGAGGAAAAGATAAACATTATGGGCTTATAAACTGAAAGAGCAAAACTATTCCAATTTATAATCCTTGGCCCAATACGGAGGAAACTTGGGCCTATATATATATATATATATATATTAAGAGCAGAGCCATATGTTACGATTTTTTTTTTTGCGAAATGTAGTGCGTAGTTTATTTGTTAATATTGGTTCAAAATTTGAATAATAAAATAGAATTGGATGGAAATCATGTGAGCTATTGTTTTATCATTTCGTACCTTTTCGTCAAAAAACTCCTTTGTACTATTTAACATTTTTTTCTTTTAAAGCACGTTTATCCGACAAATTCTATCGTAGCTTTTATATTTAAAGGGTTTTGAAAATGTTTTTTTTAAATATGTGAACAATTAATTTTAGAATTGTTTGATTTTCATGATTTTTTTTATTTAAATATATTTTTCCTAAAATTTTTAATATATATACAAAATACTCAAATTTAGTAAGGATATTTTTAAGTATATTATGATCCATGATGAATTGAGATTTTTTTTATAAATTGTGTGCAAATTATGAGGAATAAATTGAATAAAAAATTTATAAAATCTTATTATTTTTTTCAAAGTTATTTTAATTTCTACAAAACAATTCGAAACATTTGAATCAGTATTTAGTGAGAAAAAAAGAATAAGATACTTAGATTATTTGTTTAATAAAAACATATCACTTAGTGTAAAAGAAAAAAAAAGTGAAAGTGAAAAGAAAAAGAAAATTTACACTTGCTCATTTTTATTGATTTAAAAAATTAGCTGTAACATAAGAACGATTAAGATCCACATGACATTAAATATATTAAAGACAATTTGACTTGACATCCACATGTTTTGTATTGTTGAAGCTACTCTTCCATTCCTCCCTAGTCCCTAACACAAGAACGATTAAGATCAATGAAATTCTTTCCCAATTGTGAAATGGTTGGGGTTAGTGAAATTCTTTCCAATTTCTTTTGTAATTTTACATCTCCCATAAAACTCATATCATAATGACCGCAATGAGTGCATTGTCATGGTTTGGACATCCAAAGTCCAAATTATTCAAAAAATCAACAATTAAATTTTCATTTGCATGGGTCAAATGGTGGAACATGAAAAAGCGTGCCTATATGTCATTATTGTAGGGTAATGGCTTCTTCTTTTTTTCATACAACTTTAACAGATACCATTCTTGGGCAAAAATTTTAGGGATGTAGGTATTGCAAGGTAAAGACATTTTATTGAAGAGCCTTAATGGAGAACAATACATTTTTCCTGTTAGGATGTTCTTTAACAAAACTTGTTCTTTTTCATTGCAGCAAATAGATGATGGTGTTACATGCAACTTTTTTGAATGGTGTTCAAATGACTTCCTGACGAAAGGATATCCTAATCATGAGATAAAGGAGACAGTTGGTTTCAATGCAGAGTTTGCTAAAGAAAAGTATAAGATGCTTGAAGTTCTTCATGTTTAGTTGTGTTGTTTTACTTGTACTTAATGTAACAGTGACCATGTTATGGTTATTAGGAAAAGATGGAAGTGTGTGATGTATTTGAAGTTGTTTAATTTAGGTGTTAAGAGTGTAGGAAATAATGAAAGTGTTGTTAATTGTGGCATTATATTGAAATGAAAGTGAATTTTAGGCTTTCTATATTTGAGATTGTTGCAAAAGCATATAATTTTTCTTTCTTTGCGATATCATTCCCAAAGAATTTACTTAATGATAATTAAGTGATATTAATTAATGTTTCTAATGAAAGAGTTTAGATGTAAAGTGGAATTAATTCAAAATGACATATATCCCTCCAACACAGTATCTAATACGGATAAATTTGAGAAAAATGGTTTGTTTCGTATACTTGGGAAATGATAAACCGGTCAATGAAATTGTTTTATAGGACTTTTAAAAAGACATGGTAGTGTATGAAAAAACGAGTCTAGTGTAGTTATCTTTTGCATATATTTTGGAATTCATAAACTTTTTAATCTAAAATTGAGGGTATATCATACACTGTCGGAATTGGTTAAGCATACGAAAGTAGCTAGCAATTGTTACCTTGTGTGTTGTTATTAGATAAGTTGCTACAGGAACAAGAAATCGCACGTTAATTTTTGGCAAAGTTTGCAAGTTGGGTTAGATTTAGTTGTTGGGAAGTGCAATTCATATTTTTTTGGTTTTTGACCAATGTATCTGCATGTACACAATTATCAAGAGTTGTACATTAATTAATTTGTTGAACTTCACAGCAACTATGTAAGTATGGTAGAAAGAATGGATGATTCTTTCTCTGTACAGATATTAAGTACAATTTTTTTTATCCAAATAAGGTTAGCATTCCGGAGCAAAGTTCGAGTTGAATTGTTTATATTTCATTTTAATTTCTCCTAAAATTTTAATCAAGTCAAATTTTCGATTCTGACTCATCCTTAAATTTAAATAAATCCAATAATTCACGAGTAGAATTAAAATCAAGTTCATTTACAACAAGACTAAATTGACTCAAAATATAAGTAATATAAATTATCACTTCTTAACGTATATTTGTTTTCACGTTAGATGAAACTGATTGTCAATTCATCCCTTCCCTTACTTCTACATTTTTGTTTTAAAAAGTGTAAAAAATCCTGTTGAATGATATTCAAATGATAAAATAAGTATGTTATTAATAATGTAATTGAGATTTCAAGAATAATTTACATCTCAACATTATTCATTATATTGTATAAATTAAATGATGGTGACTTGTATAATCTGCTGAAGAAAAAAAAAAGGTTTTGACATTAGTATGAAAAATATAAATGAAAGAAGCAAATAGGCTAAAAAAATTCCGATGAAATACAAAAAATGAAATCATTACAAAGATATAAGGATAGATTTGGTCAGATTATATTTAACCCTAACCTGTTCCTAAATTTTCATCAGACCAATTTAATAAATTCCAACCTATGCTTAAACTAAAATCAACCCAATAATCCGTAAGTTAAATTAGGACAAGTAAGTTAAAACCATTTGATTGGTTCTACCCTCCTTGTCTCTGGTCAATATCTATAATAAAGGTTTAGAAGGTTTTATACCTCTAATTGGTTGGAATTTTTGATTAGTCATTAAAGTGTCAATCAATCCCTAAATATTTAATTAGTCCCTTTCAAATTATATTATCACCGCCTCACTCTTCCATAGAGACAAATGTTAACATTTTAAAATTTTCTCTTAAAAAGTTTAATCTGTTACCAGTAATAAACACCCTATCTCCCATTACTTTAATCCTCTACAAAGACCATCGTGAGTTGGTTACATTTTAGATATTTGAACCAGTGATTTGACGACAATTTTATGAACCACTGTTTTAGTATTTTTTTATATATAAAAAGAACTACTAATGCATATAACTCTGGAAGACCAAATTACGATATCTGTTGTGTATTCAGCGTCGGACCTATTCAACACTAGGGTGGGCAAAACGAACTGAACTGAACTTATAAAAACTATACTGAACTTAAAAGTAGTTCATATGAACTGAACTAAACTAAATATTAGTTCAGACGAACTGAACTGAACTATTCTTTTGTGTCATTGAACTGAACTGAACTATACTATAAAAACTTGAACTGAACTGCAATTTAAATTGCACTAAACTGTTATGATATTTTGAATTGAACAATTTTGACTCATTGATCTATCAAAATAGGACACATTTGTCAACTTTACTTTATTTTTCATTTTATTTAAATTTTTCAAAGGAAAAAAATATAAAATTAAGTCAAACAAACTCAGTGAATTTTAAGCCTAAAAATAAGTAGTTCAACATAGCTCAATTGATCCGTTAAGTTCAACAAAATTGATACAATTTTTTTTCAAATCACTTTTTTTCTAAAATTTTGGCTATTAAACTATCGAGCTAATCTATTAAGACATAACATGTTAAACACATTTAATTTTTATTCTTTTATAAAAATAGTTCAATTTTTATAATTCAGTTCAGTTTTTATAGTTCAGTACAGTTCAACTTTACAACAGTTCAGTTCAGTTCAATTTTTTTAAAACAGTTCAGTTCAGTTTTTTTTACAAACAATTCAGTTTTTTATAGTACAGTTCACCACAAGTTCAGTTCAGTTCAGTTTAGTTTTTTTTGCCCACCCTTATTCAACACATTGTGGGGGCAACTGCTGCTCGTTAACTCAAACCCCATTCAAGATTATTAGTATGTTTTATCAAAATTTCACGCTCACTGCAGAACCTGCGAGAAGCATAGTGAGGCTATCTAACAAACAAATGCCAAATGCCAATATGACTTGACAAACGAATCTACCTATATTTCAAGGAACCTTGCAAGGACATTAATTACAAAAATGGTAAAAGTGAGTAGGATATGAATTGAGCCAAAAAATATTAGGGGGATATGAAGACATTCTGTTGTGTAAACATCCTAGTTATATCATGTTAACTTGACTGCTCAAGACCAGGAAGAGAAGTTGGCCGAATGTTTGATTTGAGGGGCACACCTGCAGACTGCTTCAGGGACCTAGGCTTTTCTTCTCCTTGCAAAGAAGCTGCCATCTTCTCGGAGCGAAAATGAGTTCCTTCTGAGCCCTGTTCTAGCTTTCTCTTTACCTTCTTCTTTATTAAAACACCATCTGCACCCCTGACATCATCCACAGAACCACCTGAAATTCCCTTTGCTTTTTCTTGTTTTGGACCATTCACAGAAGGATTGATAACCCGTGCAGCGGTGACTGTATTAGAAACTGCCTTGGTTACTGGAGCATGAGTATGACTGCTAGAGTCTGTAGCTAATCTCTCTCGCATGTGCTGTTGCGAAGTAATTGGACTAGCATCAAATTGAACATTCTCGTCTTGCCGAGGAGCCAATAACTTTTTCTTCTTGATTTTCTCCCGATCCTAACAATATATTTGTAATCAGTGAGATAGAAATAAACTAAAAACATCATCCTCAAACAAATATCAAATCCTGATTGTCATCTGCGCGTGTGCCAAGAACAAAAAAAAGCTCTCCAATTCTTCACAGAACATCAATGGTAAATTCATAGCATTTAAATCATGAAAAATTAAATGCACCATGTAAACCAATTCCTACCCCCACCCCCAATTTTATAGCCACACGGAAACGGTTTATTAATAAATATCTAGTGAAAATACCAAGATAAACCTTTGACAAGCTACGTTGCTTTAAGAGTTTGAACAATAAACCAACAGATTTAAATTAACCATACTATGATAGGGCCCAGATAGCAGTTAGGTAGAATAGTAAACTGGTTTGATGGTTAATGTTTTTAATAAGGACTTGAGCTTAAATAGCAGGACGAGATAGAAAAGGTGCATTCAGATTTTTTAGTTTTCGAAACAGCACATTGACTTGGTTGAAAAAAAGAGGTAACCCCTGGAAGGTGATTATCCTTTTTCTGTTGTGATTCTAAAATTTTGTGGACTTGATCTCTCTTTATTCTCTAGATTTGTCAGTTCTTTCTGTTGAGAGTTTGTAAGAATGGTTTGAGCTTCCAGATTTTTTTTTTCCAGGGACAACATGAAACTAATAAAAGAAGTTCTGCCAAATACAATGGAGTTCTTGAAGACAACCAATAACCATGGGACATCGGGTGCAATTATGTCTCTACTTCTCTGGATGGTGGCAGAGATAAATCCGAGTCTGTAGTAACACTTCATATACTATTAGGATAGATAAATATCTCATTGTATCATTGATATTTTTCCTATTGCATTTCTACATTCGTTTCCCTATTTCCCTCAACAGAAATAGCCATTTAGCCTATAAAAAGGAGATTAAAGCCTGTATTCAATACACACAGAAATAGAACTCATTTTTTCCCCTCTTCCCTTTACTTTCAAGTGGGTCCATCTTTGATAAATCATTGACATTGGCAAAAAATGTTGAATTACCATGTCAACAACTTGGAAGGGCTCTGTTGCTTAGGTGATGTGCTCTTGAGGCAACAAACATAGCTGACTATGATGGCACAACTTGTGTTTAGCATGCAAGAAGCAGCAGTGCACTGGTTCCAATTTTTGAAGAAGAAAAATGCTAACAACAAACTCTATCACTTCTTTTGAACACTATTATTGACTAAAATTTATTGGAAATCACAATCTTTTGTGGGACCCACTTCTTATTTAATTAGTCTTTTTTCCTGATTTTGTAGTTTCCAATAAATTTTAATTAATACTAGAGTTTGTAAAGAAGAGCATGTTGCTACTTGCTAGGACTCCCCTTTTGCAGAAAAATAGACCAGGCTTCATCTAGGAAGGGTTAAGGCAGCATCAATGAAAAGGTTTGAAGAAAGAAATATGAACAGCATGCAAGTATGATGGGCCAGCACCCTGTAGCAAATAGGATTGGTCAATGAGTATATACAAGATTTCAAAATCTTGGTGGCACTGCAACTAAAAAAGTATTTCTTGGGCAAATCAAGAAATTAAAGGCAAAGTTTGGACACGACCCTAATAATGACATTATGAAGGCCGTAAATCTAGCCAGGGATACTGAAGAGGAATTGCGTGTTTCCAAACTCCTGTTATCAGGTGCACTTTAGATTATCATCCGGGAAGTGGCAACTGCAGTGGTTTTACCCAGTACGCTGCAGTGAACACTGTTGGCCAGGAGCTAATTCAAGAATAACACCAGCTCAAACAATTATTCAAAAAAAAGTGTAGAGTATTGACAGACTCAGCCACCAAGCCCATTGGCAGTAGCACATATCCACAACCATATAGGAGCTAGATAGGTGCCATTATCATGCATGGATATAATATAACAGTTATCAATCCTAGATAGTGACGCAGAGTGACTGATCCTAAAGCCTCTGCCCTCTATAACAAGATAGAAGATAGCAGGATAACCATGTGACCACTACCCTGAAGATTTTAAATACAAGTAATTATACTGCATTTATATAAATGCACATGTTTGTTAGTGTTGGAATCAGAGCCCGACTCATTTATAAAAAGAGAACTATCCCTTCTCTAGATTGCTCAGTAACTCAGTTCTTCCTCTTGTGAGTTCAATTAAATGAAACATGGTAGAAGTGGTCTACAATATCTATATCATTAATCATTTCTAAAACTTGAAATACCAAAAAGAAATAATATTTCTCTGAAATTAAAAAGCAAAGTGAAATAATTTATAGGGATATTTTGATAGAAATCTAGCATAGCCAGTAGTCAAATAGGGAGTGAAACGAGTAAATGGAGACTAGGAAAGAAACACAGATCCAAAAGGATAAATACAGAAATAAATATTGTTCTTTGAAATGGAGGATCATCGATCAGTTCATGATATAAGGCATGTTTACTTTGTTGACTAAAAATAAAAAACATTAACAAGAGTGATCAACTAACGGGAGAGAGAGAAAGAAAAAAGGGAGGAAGGGAGGGAGCCAAATTAACATGAATAGAGTGTTCCTGTGCCAAATTAAGGATGGGAAGAAAAATTAATTGAAAGACTCCTATTTAGTTTCTGACATAGTCATGCCACATAACTATTAATAACAGGCTAGATCACAAATTATGATCATGAAACCCTTCTCTCAAAATTTTCTAAACTTAGAGAACAAGAAAAAGGCTACTTCTTTTTTATGGAGATTTTAGAATATTATTACACAAAAGTTAACAGTTATAATTCATTGCAAAGACATACCTTATGTCTGCTGTACAGTGCTTTGTGTCTCACTCTCGACCTGTGAATTGCATCCCTGATCCCATGGTTGTCCATGCAACCATTTGGAAATAATTCTGCAAGCTGAAGAAGACAATGCACTTCAAAATGAGAACAAAAAAATTGTTTATAAAAAGCAAACATTGATCTGGACACCAGAAACTGCAATGCATATTCAATAAACACAGACACACATAAAGTAACACAAGCTTCTGAAAGAAGAGAATCATTTGTGGACTTGGAAGAAGGAAAAGAATGGCAATCAAGAAAATTTCCACGAGAGAAAATACAACTGAGAATTCTTTTCTTTTCAATGTATTGAACATAGTTATCAATCCTAAATAGCAGTGCTTAGCAACCAACACTTAAAAGTTACAGTGGGATAGTACATAGCAAGATGAATTCTATTTTAAATTTTTTACAAAAACATATAATCCATCGTTATGTACATTAAACAAATGCTTATAATTGGCATATTCATAACTATCAATAAAAAAAATCATAGAAACGAAAATGAATGAAGCAAAGTATCTTTCAGATAAGCACAGATATGGGTGTTGTAGAAAAAAGTGCCAGAGAGGGGAGGCTCTGCCAGTTTGGTTGCATAGCAGAACAAAGAACGAGATAAGAGAGGAGTTGTCATCCACAGAAAAAGGAGAAGCGACAATGTAGGGAAAATGGGGGTAGGCTTTTTTACATTTTCTGAAACGGGAAAACCAATTTTAAACTTAAAAAACCCTAAAAATGCATCGCTTTAAGGAAAAAAGGGAGTTTCATTAGATTCTCTGTAGTGGCACCATTGTGCTGCAAAAGCTTCCCTGTTGGCAATTAAAGAGGTTATTAATAAATGTGACAGCTGTGAAGCAAAAACACACCACTATGCAGTTTTGTCACGGCTGCATGGCATTCTGCTCTGCCCCTCCGCAATTGCACCATGATTGAACTCTATTAATAACTATGGTCTTGAAAAGAAGGAATACAAGATTATTTTAAACAGCACTAGTTTAATATTTTTATCTAAAACAAGGATATTTGGAAAATAAAACAAACTAAAACAAATTTTAGAGTAAGCAGGTAATGAAATGAATAGCCAAATGTAGTTTGTGACACTCTGTATAGCATATATTCATTATTCAACACCAGATAAACATAAAACTAGCAATCCATTTGAACCACCTCTGCATACAACTTTTTGCGAGAACCTTCATCTAACCCCTGGAACAATTACAAATAAGATTCATTAAAAAACTTTCTCTAATCAAACAAGATATACAAAATAAATATTTAAGGCTCAAACTTCTATACTTCAGCAAAAAGGTTGTAGAGATCATAAATCTTGTCTTCCAATGCAGTGTCCATACTAAAATTCCTTTTAGTTGTTGGTTTTCCATCATGAACTAATTCTTGTTCCCCAGATGCTCCAGCTAACTGCTGTAGCTGAAAATGCAGAGAAAGCATGAAAAAACATCCCAAATTAAATAACCAAAATATTCTTTAAACAAAAGTACAATTATTTCCTGAAAAAATGCTAATGAAGATACAACGCAAACATCAGGAAATATAACAATAAAACTAGATTGAGTGTCATAATAACCAGTGTTATCAAATGGCCGTTATGGCGGCGCCATAACAGTATGGCGGCTGCTGCCGTGATCCGTTATGGCTGTTTGGGCTATGTATGGCAGGGATCCACCATTTTGAAAATGGCGGCCGTTACAGCGGTAACGGCATGGTGGACCAAGGCGTTTGTGGTGGACATGGCGCCGTTTTGGGCCTTTTTTTTTTTCCTTTCATTTTTCCGTTTGGGCCCGGGTTTCTGGGTTGGGCGACCCGCGACCCAATAACTTAATGATGCAAAATAGGGTTGTCGCAGAAGCCCTAATGCACATTCCCTCTCCTCTGTGCAACACGCCCTCTCCTCCGACGCGGCCACCATCGTCACCTCTGACACGACTTTCTTCTTCCTCTGCGCACAACGGTTCCTCCTCCACGTGCGACTGGTTTCTCCTCCGCGCGATAGCTGCTCCTCCGTGCATGACCACTCCTTCTCCCTCTACACGTCTCCTCCTTTGAGTTCAACCGTCGCCACTGCCATTGCATCCGACCCGACCACCATTGTGTTTTGCTATTTCTTAACATTGTTGCTTTGTTATGATGGCTATTTAATCCTTTTGTTGGTTAGGAATTTATGTTTTTTTATGATGACTATCACTAGATTATGAATGCCATGAATTTTAGATTGTTATATTGTTGGTTTTAATATGTGTTTGTTATTTTTCTGTTTTTGCATCATATTATATATATATATATAACCATAAGAAGAATAGAGCAGCTTGTTAATTTAATAAAATCGGCCATATAACTGGAAGTTCTCGTGCATTTGAATCATTTTCTGAAAGAAAAGGGTGTCTTGGGTAAAATTATTTGAAAGGTTTTTTTGGAGAGTTTCAATAGTATACTCTGCTCCGTTGTTTAATATACCATTAGCGATCAATTCATTTCTTTGCTCAGCCCAGAATGGATTGGGATCCAACTGGGCCATTATATATATATATATATATATATAATTTTATTTTTTTATTTTTTTATTTTTTTTTGTCCGCCATGGACCACTATGGCAATATGACACTTAAAGGTCCTTGCCGCCATCCGCCATATAACCTTATGGATAACCTTGATAATAACAACTAATGAATCCCTTTTCAGGTAAAAACGATCCATAAATAAACATGCCAAAATAAGGATTTGCATATAAAACTCAAAATTGCATTGAATCCATATAGAGAACCTTTCATAAGGAATGAAAAATAAGTGAAGTATTATAATATGAATTATACTATAATATGTGGAACCAAAACAGAGCCACACGAACCAGCTAAGACAAACAACAAACATTAAATGAGTGAAAATATGACACATTGAATTCATTTTACCAATATTCGATTTTTATATGGAATGAAATAGATACAAACCTTGGATTCCATAGATGGGGCCTGCTTCTTAATCATCTCAACAACTTCCTTCTTTATCTGTTGAATCCTATCATTTTTCTCAGATAAACCCATACTGATCATAGTTTTTAAGTTTCTCTGTAGCAGGCAGACATTGCATGAGAAGTTAAGTTTCAATTCAAGCATTGACGGTAACTAGAAATACCTACCTAATGATGGATATAAATATAAAATATCAACAAATAAAATATTTGCAAAATTTTATGATGACTATCATACAAAATAAATAATGGAAGGAAATTGATTTTTTGGATTGGATTGTAAAAGAACGGAGTTCAAAGTTTGTTTAATTTTTATACCAAAGAATAACTTCTGAAATGTAATTATAGGAAATCACTTAAAAATTAGAGTCAACTTGCTAAATTTAATTTTGTAGTGATAGGAATAGATTCTTATTTTGAAATCACCAGCTCCTACGGCTAGAATCAATTCTATAATTTGAGGCAACAAAAATTTACATTTTCCTAAAATTGTTTTTGTGGCATAAAATGTGAACTTGAAAAGCTTCACAAACATGATCAATTACAATTAGAGTGTTTGGTTCGATTCATTTTGAAGGAATAATTACTTATTTTTGCCTGCTTCATGAGAGTTTTTAGGAATCAATTCAGGAAGACCATCTGTCACTCTGGAGTCACCAAAGTCTAAAGCAAACAGATCCTTCATTCCTGAAGGAAGACCAGTTTTTATTAAATTGTAGGTTGGCAAATTATCATTTAGAGATAAAAATTTCATAAACTAAGACATGTGACATTGAAGTACACCATAAAAAATAGGAAAAAGATAAAAGGAAAAAAAAAACAAGAAAACAGAATCAATCTTTCAGAAGGCCACAAAAATAAGTCACTCAAACACCAATGTGATTAGGTCATGAATGTATTCAAAGCCTAAATATGATATTGTTTAAATCATATCCTAGTCACTAAACAAACTACAACATGTACAAAAGTTCAGGATAGTGAACTGGACAGCAAGAAATGTGATTTGAGAGATACAATCTTTAGTTTCAATTTTCAAATTTATATAATTTTTGGGTTCAAAAACCAATAGTAGAAATAAAAGGCAGCCAAGTGCTATAAAGCTCCTTCTATGCATTAGGTCCAACTCCAAGGAAAGGTCAGATCCACTACATAGATTTATAGTAGGCAGCCTTACCAATAGCAATGGTGATAGATAATACCAGGTTGGAATAAGTACACTGATCATCTTTCAGACAATCAATAGTGACAGTGATATATTATAAAGCATCAACCTCAAGTAGTCTCTAGAACTAAGTCCACCAACATTGAAATAAACTTTCACCCAACCAATTCCAGTGCAAACTACACATGTCAACTAAATGAAGGGTAGGGGCATTATAATCGGAAAATGAAACAATGTATACTAAAGGATTATCTGTTATGTAACTTATGTTTATCAAGCTGAAATACCTTTAGCGTTCTGAGCTGCATCAGATGCCCAAGAATACTCATAAGACGGTTAGTTAACTCCTCTGATACTTTCCCCTGGCTTGCCGGCTGCAACAGAAACATATAGTCAACATTACAATACGATAGAATATGTCAATACTCTAACTATCAGATTCAGTGAGATACAAATCATTTAATAAAATTCACATTCATTTTCTCTCTCAGTTCTCTCTCCCTCTACTGGGAAGACTTTTAGAAAATAAATACAAAACTGTGCATATATTTGGAGGCATTAAGCATAACATCAGAAACAAAATTTGTCAATACCGCTAATCTAGCAACTTTAGCAAGTTTTAGCTTTATTTCTCTGGGCAATCTCCGTTTGACAGCCTGAGGTGTGGTATCAGCCTCCTGGTTTTCCATAGTTGGTGGCCTTGCTGTAATAAGATTTAAAAGAAAAACCTAGCATTAGCAATGAACTTCTCACATTGCCTAACTCTGAGAAATGTTAGCTTCAAAACAATTTCCAAACTTACATTCTGCAACCATCTTCTCCAACTCTCGAATAGCTTTCTCAAGCGTTGTAGTTTTTGGCCTAGCACTAGAACCATCCTTCTTGAGCACATTTTCAGATTTCTGCATAAGCTTCAATCAAGCCAATGACTTACACAGTATATGTTACACACACAACAGCTAACTTTCACAACTTTTGTTGTCAAGAGTCAGTAATAAGAACATGTTATCTCACCAAATGCATTTTACAAGAATATGAAGTTTGCCAAGATTTCCATTTAAATCTCTCTGAAAAATAAACCAATCCATGCATACCAATATCCCTTAAACAGAAATTATTTTGAATGAAAACGGATGCTCCCCTAAAGCCAAGGTAACAAATAAAGGGAGCAAATTGAATCAATAATGCTACACAACTAAGAAATCACAGGGAGCGTTGTACTTCACATAAAAAAATAAAAATAAAAAGGGAATCAGCAAAGCATTTCCTCTCCTTATTAATTGGCACATTGTTGTGAAATGTGGCAGACTATTAAGATTCAATCGCAAGGTATGAGACTTGAATCATATATTGAAGTATGGGATCCAATGTGGGGTTTATAAGGCCTTGGGCTCCCCAACTACAATGGCTAACTTTTGTAATGCGGTTCTCTCAAGATTCTCATCAATTGATATCAAAGCTTTTCAACATGGCCTTTAGTTGTAAATGAGCAATGTGGATGGTGATGACAACATAGAAGTGTTTGCTCAGAACTAGTCAAAGGACTAATGCACAGCCAAACTACATGGCATCAAGGCTGCAGAGCATGAGGGAGTTTTACAATCCTATTGCAAGGTATGAGACTTGAAAGTCGAAACCCACATTAGAAGCAAGGGATTCTGGTTTGGTGTTTATGACATTTTGATCTCCCTAACTACAACTTCTAGTTTTTGGGGTATTATTCTCCCAAGGTTCTTATCACACTTTTTCTGGCACACAACATGTCATGCTTCAATGAAATCTGTTAATTGCAATGGTAGTTGATCTACAACAAGTGCTTATTTGGTGGGCAGCTCCATGCTTCACATGGTAATTATGGCTTAGAGTGGAGAACTCTTTAATTTAAAGCTGAATACCAAAAAATGAATTGATATAAGTGGGCGACATTTTATTGGTATCAAGTTTTTCATTAAATTGATTCATTAGATTATATTTATCACATTGGAAATAAAATAAACACAACAGAAATGCAGATAAGTAAACTTACTGGTGCTTGTATAGCAGGTTTTGCCATGACAGATAAGTTAAGATCTGGCAGTACACGTATGGCAATTTTATCCTTTGACCGACCAGTGTTTTCTAAATTGTCAACACTACTTGAGGTTTTTCCAGGCTGGGGTTTGGAATGTGCAGATGCACTTTTTTCATGGTACTTCTGATGAGAAGTATCAAGAAATCCAGTTGCATCTTTATATTTATCACTCATGTTCTTAGATTGAAGTGATCCGGTCTTCTGTTTATCAGCCTCTTCTGCAGCAGTAGGAGCATCATCAGTTGATACTTTCGAACAGACAGGAGGATCAGACATTTGTCTACTGTCAGAAGTTTTCTTTTTCAAACTAATTCCAGAGACATCCAATTGATTCCGAAATTTCATGTCTTCACAATGATCACTGGGTACACCCAAATTATTTGAGGAACTAATTGTATTTTTCACATGTAATGATGAAGCCTTTCCAGCAGTAGTCTTTCCCACTTTCACATGTTTATTTGATACATGACCATCAATATTTTCACCAGGATTCTTTGGTATATCTTTTCGGCGCCTTTTCTTTGCTTGCTGGATAGGTAATACCGGAGGTTCATTTCTTGTATCATAGAAAGAAAAGAAAATCAATAAAATCAGAAATTTGTATGAATCATTTATGTACTCCAATCTACAATTTAATAGATTCAAAGTGTTGGTGTAAAAATGCAGACATGTGTCACAGGAAATAATATTCAACCATAAGCCAGGAAAATAATGCTAAAAATATTATCAAGAACAGGAAGAAAGAACTTCACCATAAGATACTAAATTACTAATAAAGGCATAAAGTTATAACTGATGAATAGTTTAAACCAAATAAAGAGACAGATTAGTTTAAAGTGCATAACAGTCAATTGAAAGTTTAGAACAATTGACCAACAATCAGCAATGAAAAAAGACAAACAATCATAATCATAATAATGTACAAATTCCATTGCACAGTTATCAATCTTATATGACAGTGCATATCATTCAATCCCAAAACCACTATACCAAGACAAGCACTAGACTGAAATTCTATGATACAAAATTTAAATAATTTATGCAGCAAATATATAAATGCTCAAAGGAAAAAATTACCCAAAATTAAAGACATTCATAATTAATAATCACAAGTCATATAGAACTAAAGAACTTAAAGGAAAGAACAGAGCATCAGATTGCACTGGAGAACAGAACAGGACAGGAAACACCAGGATGGCACTGGAAAGAATCACAAATGGGCAGAGAAGGCACCAGAGAATTGCAGGTTCCGTTTCAGAGACACAAAATCATGCTGAATTGTTTCAGAATAAGGCTTCAATTTCAAACTTTTTGTTTTAAAATAAAAAGGAAGGTGATCATGCTGGTAAGGGGGCAAGCCCTATTAGGAGTTGTGGCGGCCACTTCCACTAAATAACACAATTTCCAGCAGAAAGCGGGATGGATGCTATTGTGAAAGTTTAGATACAAGTTAAATACATGCTTAAATATTAAAAGTTACTCAAAATTAGAGTCATTCATATGCTGGTAATAGAGAACAGTGATAAAATATGCAGACCTGTGTGAGAGAGCGTTAACTGCAACAAAATGAAAGGGCAGAACAATATCTAAGTTTTTTTTGTTATTAATATCTAAGATTAAGAGAGGGCAGGGAACACTGAGACAGTGAACTGAATACAAACAACAGAATAGAATGTTCAAGATAGTGCCAGACAGCACTGGAGAATAGTAGATCATGCTTTAGAGACAAAAAATCTCACTATTGTTTTAGAATACGGTTTCAATTTCAAACGCGAAATAAGGGACACAAAATGATGAAATTGTTCCCCAAGATAACACGTAAACCACACAGCATTGTTTGCCGCCAGAAACACCAGGATGGTGCCAGAAAAAGTCAAAAATGGCCAGAGACAACACTGGAGAATAGTGGCCCATGTTTCAGCAACGCAAAAGTGCCCGATTGTTCTAGAATAGCCAATAGGGTTTCAATTTTGAACCCCAAATAAGGGAGGCAACGTGATGAAATTGTTCCCAAAATAAACCTTAAACCACACAGCATTGTTTGGGGGGTGATGGGTGTTAAACACAGATTTTCAACCATTAATCAAACTTGTGCCTGCTAATGCCACAATTTGTGCCACTCCAGGAACGACAACGAGAGCTGTGATGAAATCAGCTTCAATGGAGCAGCCCATCACTGTGATGGTGCTATAGTGTCACTATAGTGCTAAATTGACAACTGAGATAGACTGAATACAAAAAAGGAAAACAGTAAAGTAAATATGCTACCCAAAAAGTCAATACTCTAGGTATTAGAGTAACGTATGACGGTGTAGTAAGTGTGGGGCAATATGACAACTCATAACTAAAAGCCAGCTCAGCAGTAATAAGGAAATTCTAACAACAAATTTTATTTTTGTGTGCTCTTACTTTTTACCTGATGCTAGTCTTCAGATGAATTAAAATACGAATGTAACAAAACTACTTAAAGAAAGCCAAGTGGCCAACTTTACAACAAATTCATTTGATCTCTGCATGTTAATGAGCTGCCTAAAATAGGAGATATTATTTCCCTTCAAGGCAAGAGATCAAACATAATTGATAAATAGTTACCTCATAAATGTATTAAAAGAATAATTTAAAAAAAAAAAAAAGAGAGATGAGGGTAAAGCCCATTTAGCAATTTAGCTGTCTAAGTTAACATAGCAGGCTAGCAGCACCAACTTGGACCCCCAAATTTAATATAACATTAAAGTGGTATTTCTAAACATTAGTTTTGAAAACCACATCAGACCGGCTGGTTAACTGGGGATCAGTCAGGTCACCAGTATGAACAAATAGCTGGTCAAAAACTGGCCAAAATTGGGATAAAAAATCAATTTGAACCAGATTGTTCAAGAAAATATTTGTTTTTTTACAAATTTTTGTTCTCATATTTTTTTAAAAATTGCTATTGTAAAGCTATTTATTACAAATTTGTTTATCTTATAGGACATACAATATGTTCATTTTATCCTAATTAAAAAAAAAATCCCAACTTAATTTTCTTATAATTTTACAATAGTTTATTATTTAATATATTAAAAATATATTTATATACTACCAACTAAGGCCCAATCTAACTACGACTAAACTAATACTTTAATCGGTTCAATTCCTAGTTCAGTTTTAAAAATATTGTTTTCAAGGCTGCAACAAACATTTTATGAAAGTAGTTAAAACAGTATAAAGAACCACCACTCTTAATTTAAGGTTCATTCAGCTTCCATAACTAAAGATTATATTCTAGTCATGGATTTAGTCATCCATCAACTCTACCCTGCAGCCTCAAGTGGTGGAACTTCAAAAGCCCTCTAGGATAGGTATAAACTTGAATGATATGAAAACATTTAATCGATCCTGAATCTTAGCATTTGCACACAAGGAAGAGGGATGAAAGTCTACCTCCTTTTATATGGCTGTTGTATAGCACTCAAAAATATATTCTCAACATTTCAAGCATAAAACTAACACGTTGCAGGAGCCCCAGTATTAGTCGTTGTCACTACTCACAAACTAACTAAACAATGATGTGAAGGATACATGATCTCATTTCTTGTTCATAACTTCATTTAACGTCTCAAGCATATATATATAACTCATGGTGGCAATATTATTCCACTGACTTTAGTACTGTACCCATCAACTAAAATGACAAAAGTGCAAAGGATTCCAAAATTAAGTGATTTACAAAGAAAATAAATAAATATAAAGGGCAACCAGGTGCATGAGGCTCCCACCCAACTGAATTTGAGGAGGGATTGGGAATATGTACAGAGACTTAACCCCAAAAATGACGAGGCTATTTCTAGTATTTGAACTGTTGAATTCCAGGCCACATGGCAGCAGCCCTACTGTTGCACCAAGGCTAGCCCTCAGATAGAAAAGAAATTGACATACACAGAAAATATTCAAATAAAAAACACTTACATGCGTTCCAATTTCCCCCTATTTACAAAAAAGCCATCATGTTTGATTGCAGAATTATCGACCTCAAAATACTCATCCTGCATAAAGAACAGTTGAACTACATAAAAAAAATATGCAAGGTGAAAAGTCCACATTGCAATATGGGACAATACGATTCCTATCATCATCATGTAATAATAAACCAAAACGGAATAAAAAGATACCAACCAATTCAGCATCATCAATAAAAGAGTCTTCAGTATCATACTGATCATCGGGAACATCAAGTAGATCCTCATCATCACTACTGTCCTTACCCTAAAAAAAGGATTCAGAGTCCCATTATTCCCAACATAGAAAATATATACAAAAAATTAATAAAATACTTACACATGCATCTACGATATGAATTTATAGTAGAAACCAATCCAATTTTGTACAAAGCATTGAGTAACAATCTCAGGAAGCAACATAACCATACCATGTAAAGGCGCTCAATCTTCTCTATTACAGCACTGAAACGGTTAGTCTGAGGAGCACCCTGCTCTTCAATCTCCTTAGGTTGTCCCTAAAAATGACAGGTATTATTAAAATAACAATGCACAAAACCATTTACCATTCCATAAGACAATATGCTGATTTGGCTGGAATACAAGTACCCAGATGACAAATAATTATACTGTAGCATAAAACAAGATAGTGTCAATCCAATGTGCGACTACCTTGACTCCATATATTTCATATACTCTCATGCTACAAATAAACATATACATACTACATCATACATGTATTTAATACTTATGAATTATAAGAACAAAATTCAAAACAACAGCACTTGTCCTATTAAAAAAGTAGGAACCGGATACTGATAAATTGTGGCATATTTTTATGTTTACTTAGCACACTTATTTGTTTCTCAAATAATAAAGCCTTAATAAGATTTATCTATTAATATCAAGAAGAAAAAATAAGCTAATAAAAATCAACACATAAAAATGTGTATTGAGGGTAGAAGACTAAGGTATAGAGCAAATAAAAAATCCTGCAAATAATACTGATTGATTTATTAATTTTTATGCCAATACAATGGCCTTAAACAAGGGGATGGGCCTTGATTCAACAACAATGTTTATGCTTTTACCTGGAAGACACAGGTTAATCTCTTGGAAAAAAAGTGTCTCCACTAAGGAGGGGAGTATGGCTTTGAACATCTACTTACCCCAGATCACACTAGGTGAGAACCTCGTGCACTGGATCACATTCTTTATAAGTTCCCTAAACTAATGAGAAAAATGAAGCCTCAGTTATGAAACTAGTTAGCATAACATTTGTTCCAATTACTCTTATATCACTTTAAACAAAAGCAAATGAAACGATGTTCCATCAGTTCACCAAATTTAAAAGTTGAACATGCATTAATAGTGTGCTACTATGTTGGAACTTGCATCAAGGATGCTCGTTTTCACGTCAAGTCAGCTAATTGAAGTAGAAGCAACATTTTATTGCCTCGGTGTTGACACGATTACAATGTGTCAAAACGCGATTATAAATAGACATTAGGAGCCTGTTTGGTTCCGCGTCTTCTCCCTCATACTTGCGTTTTTTATGTAAATTTTGGAAACTACAAAGAGTATGTGGGTAGGATGTACACGCATTCTTAAATTTTAACCAAACACCTAAGTCAATAGGCATAACAATTCAACCTAATAAATTTGAAGTCAAATAGAAGCACTTCCGGGAGCAATTCCCAATTCCACTTTGACACAACAAAAGCCTTTCAATTAATTTTTCTGTAAGAGCAGCGCCATTCAGCACAAACCCTGTTCTACGAAAACCTACAAAAAAAAAACATCCTTGCACTTCCCAGTTAACATGTGCTTACTTAACTTTAAAAAACAGAAGAACCCTAATTGTTAGACAGAAACCGTGCCAGGTGAATCAAGAACGGGTTGACAAAATATGTTCGTAAAAAATAGCATTAACCTGACCCAAATTTTAAAAAAATAAAAAACACAGTCAAAGCTCACTAAAAAGCCACTCTTATATTCTCACAAATTACAATTCAAAACATCATCCACACACCACAGTAACGCTCTCACACATTGCTACCCCGTCCCCGACTCACAATGCACGTATACACAAATTTCAGAAACAATTCGGAACCTAAACGAAAATCGGAAAACGAGGCTCACCGGAGCGATTCTTGACTCGAGCGCAGGGTTCACATTGGGGTGGTGCTCGGGAGCGGAAACGGATCCATTGTTAACCTTGTTGGCGTCCTTCATCAGCTTCTTCCACGACACTATGGTGGTCTCTCCGGGGCGGAGCTCCACCGTGAACATTTGCCGGTCGCCTTTCTTCACGAACGACGACGGAGCCCTCGCCGCCGACGACGAATCGCCGCCGCCGAGAGGAGCCGCCTGCTCCGCCATCGGAGCGGGTGCGGATTAGCGAGTTTCGCGGGGGACGGCGCGAGATTTCGGGGAGAATTAGGGCGCGAAAAAAATGGAGGAAGCGAAAGCGAAAGTTATAAGCCCTAAAAACGAAGGCAGAAGAAGAAGAGGTGGAAGAAGAAGAAGTGAAGAAGAGAATTGGTATTGCGCGGGATTCAAAAAAATGAGAGAAATTAATAAAAAAGAAATATTGTGAAGAAAATAAAAGGAAATAAGAAAAGGGATTATTGTTTTGTTGTGGAGGAGGGGTTTTAAGTTTAACTGCAATGCAATTTGGACTCGGTCGTAAAATTTTGCCCCTACTTTTTTTCCAGAAAGCCAGGGAGGGAAAAGGATTCGGATCGGGTATTCTGTGGGCCGGATCCTGTATCATAATTAGTCAGATATCTCTTCTAATTACTTTTTTTTTTTTCGTTTTAAACACTCAAATTCAATATTTTTACTAATATATAAAGAGATACCCAATATCTCTTCATTTATGAAATGTCTCTATATGAATTTTATCTCTAAATTTAAAATAACTCATGGATTGAATGAATTTATTCTTGACATATAATCGTATAAATAATTTTACACTACTTATATGATTAATTCAATCATTATTCATTGATGAAGTGCATGATAATCAAAATATAATAGAATTCGATTTCATATAAAAGAAAAATTTATGTTCTACATAGTTATATTTGTAATAATGGATTAAAGTAATATATATAATAATCACATGAACTTTTTCGATCATAAATTTTTTTTATAGGAAGATCAAATAATGATTTCGCTTCAGGACGATTTTTACTTTCCCTGCAAATTATGAACGAAATTAAATGTCAATAAATAATAAATAATGTCATAAATAATAAAAAATAAAATTACATAATGTCATATCTTTCGAGAATAAATTTTAATTCTTTATAAAATACATCATCCATAATTTCTTTAACTTTAAAAAGCTGCAAAAACAAATAATAGAGTGTCAAGGATCAATATGAGAGATTTAAAATTTCATGTAAATTTTTTTACTTTATGAAAAAAATAACCATAACCTCAAAAATGGAGATCTCTCGTTTTGCATGAAAGTTGTTAATATGACAGATATTACTTGATCTTGCATTTTCAAGTGTCCTATTGTTGTGAAAAGTATGAGTTAGAATTTATTTAAATTAGGTAATAATACAACTATATTTTTATATATATGAAATTGTCACATATAAAATATTTTTAGAACCATGTTATTATATTACCTTTCTAATTTTTGAGACAACAATTCTTTTTTCACCATTTTCCAAAGTTGGGTTTTATCTACTATTACTATAGAACTCCACCTAATAGAATATACTTTTAAACGATGAACCTGCCACAAAGAAAAATCAATTTAAATAGATAAGCAATAACAAAATATGAAAATGACATTTTCAAATTAAATTGAACCTTGTTGTTAATGAGAGAAATTGTTGAGAGTGAATACTTGTCCTTCCAAATATTTCATAATTTTTCAAAGTCATCCTCCTAGTAAATATAATTAGTATAATTAAAAATAGATGATAATAAAGTTTCATCATAAAAAGTGAATAAATATGTTATCACTTACATGTTTGTCAAAATACATATTCAAATTCTTTCTATTGATCTCTTTATATAACTAGAGGATCTTCTTGAATCTTAATTTGACTATAGATTAAAAAATAAAAGAAACAAATTTTAGTTTTTGTATATCATTATCAAATATTAATCTAAATTCATAAAAATTACAAATTAAAAGGGGCAACACCTGATTTTGATATAACAAAATTTCTTTAAAAACAATATTTTTCGTAAAATTTTCATCTTCTTCCTTCTTTAATAAGAATTTTCATTGAAGCTTGAGAAACTGTTGGTTTTCCGAGCAAGCGCACTCAAGTCTTTGTAATATAATTAAAAGGTTTTCGATCCTCAGGGATTTGTGAAGTAAGCCTTGATTTCTATTATGCTAGTTGATACTTGTGGATGTAAAACTTGAGTAATTGCGCATATCCAAATTTGATGTGAATGCTTAATTAAACTTAAGTAACACAAGGATAAATTAATTTTAAGAAAACAAATATGAGAAACAGTTGGGATAGATTTCATCAATCTCCCTCCTATGCATTCCTATTGATTCTTTCAAATGATTCTATTACTCATGGCCATTGAGTTTACTACTTTCATTCCTACCCAATCCCTTGGCATAAGAAATTCTAAGATATTTAACTCAATGAATGATTCTTCACTTCATTCAGTTAAATATCCCGCATTAAGAATCAGAACTTATTGCAACTATTAATTTCAAGACCATCCCTGGCTCTCAAAACTAATAGGTGATTCGTTCTAACTCTAGATTCAGAAAACGTTTTCCAACCAAATTCTAAATCCAAAATCAGAGATAAATGATCAGTTCATCAAAGCATTAAGAATAGAAACAAATCACTAACATAGAGTAATAGATGAGATATATATATGAATCAAAGATAATACAAAGGAGTTCGACGATTACATCAATCCCAACCCTAGAGCTTAGCTCTCCATAGTACAAGAAATCACCAAACAACAAGATGAAAGGTAGAAGGAGAAAGAAATCCTTTGAAGAATCGCGTCCCCACGAGCTCCAAAGTGCTCTGTTTTCTCTCTTTTCTTTGTTCTTCTCTCTTCGTACAGCTTGATAATGATCTTTTCTCTCTCCTCTGCCCTTATATATGTGATGGAATTAAAACAGAGTAAGCAGGAAAGAGAAGAATCCGCTCAGCGCCTTGAAATGGCTGAGCGATTTGAAGAATTCTTCACCATGAAGTAACCTAAAGGGCTGAGCCCCTTAAATCCGCTGAGCGCCTTAGAGATCCTTCACTGCTAAGCAAGCACAAGTAGGGATGACAAATATACTCGTACCCGCAGGTAATACCCGAACTCGTCCCGACTTTGACGGGGAATACCCGGTTTGACCGGGTACGGGTACGGGTACGAGTAAAACCCGATATATTAAATCGGGTACGAGTATGTACTTACCCGCCCCGTACCCGTACCCGTACCCGTCCCCGTTTCTATTTTTAATTTAATACCCACTTTCAAGGTATACCCGATACCCGACGGGGACGGGGATGGGGATAAAAATCACATACCCGACGGGTACGGGTACGGGGATGGGGATGAGTTTAGCTTGCGGGGATGGGGACGAGTATCATGAAACCCGTACCCGCCCCGTCCCGTTGCCATCCCTAAGCACAAGGGTTGGGCGCCTCAGATCCGCTAGCGCCTAAGAGACAGAGAGCATCCTTCTTCTAGGGCCAAATCCGCTCAGCGGATTGGAGTGGCTGAGCGCCTAGGAGGTAGAGAGCACTCCTTCTTCCAGGGTCAGATCCGCTGAGCGCCTTCAGTTTGGTGCACTTTTGGAGGGCTCTCTGGCTTGAATCCGCTCAGCTCTTTTGAATGGCTGAGCCATTTTCTCCAAATTTCAAAACCTACAAAATAAACACAAAATTGAATCAAAAGCTTCATCGCTCCCTGTACTAACATAAATCAAAAGTCCTTCTTTGATTCTAAGCATATATAGACCAAAATAATATCAATATGTACAAAAATTGTGCTAGATAAGTGTCTTAAATGCATATTTAATCAGATTAGTTAGACACTTATCAGAAACATCTCTTGACAAAGCAACATATAATTAACCATGACTAAAAACATGTCGCGGAAGATAAATTTCAACATTTGGTATTTTTTGTCCCTGTGACTTATTTATGGTAATTGCAAAACTTAGTTTCACAGGAAATTGTTTCCTAATAAGTACAAAGGGAAGTCCTGCACTTTCTGTTGTCTTATGTTTAATTCTGGGCAAAAAAGATCTTTTTCCAGCATTATGACCTGTTAGGATTTCAACATCCAACATATTCATAAAGAATCCACGACATAATAACCTTGTTCCATTACATAAGCCAGCTTTAGGATTTATGTTTCGCTACAACATCAATGGTGCACCTTTTTTAACCTTCAGATTATGTGGTGGAAAACCACCTGGAGTAATAAAGTGCAAGTATTCTTGTTGATATAAGTTGCGTGTGTCCTCTTCAACCTCATCAAATGATAACAAATCTCGTTCTTCTCCTAGGAAATGGTTGATGATAATGTCATTCAGATTTTGAACGTCCTCATTTTTGGGTGTTAGTATGGCTTTTTCTACCATATAAGAAGCATCCCATGTATGAGATTCTAATTGTGGAAATGTGTCACGAATAAGTTTTTGTATTGAATTTTTCCCTTCCCATGTTATTTCAAATTGATGAGGTACTTTTACCATATCATCACATTTGGTAGGTTCAGTACCATCTCCAATGCGCATTAGATATTCTGCAAAATTAGGATCTTGTAATGATCACATGTTTCGTCTCAAATGTAAAACCTTTGTGATATGCCATAAATGAGACTTAACAATACATGCATATATCATTTGTGCCTTAGTACCTTTTTGAACAACAGGAAGCACCTGACGAAAATCTCCTCCCAATATCATAATTTTACCACCAAATGGAGCATTACAATCCATAATATTCTTTAATGATCTGTCTAATGCTTCCAAAGCATATCTATTTGTCATGGGTGCTTCATCCCAAATGATTGTTATGGTTTCTCTAATTAGTTTTGCAAGATCAGACTGTTTACTTATAGAACAAAATGAATATGCCTTTACATTGATTAATATCTTAAATCTAGAATGTGCAGTTCGACCACTAGGTAATAGTGTTGCAGCTATACCAAATGAGGCAATTGCTAAAACAATTTGTCCCCTGCTTCTCACTTTTGCAATTAAAGTGCGATAAAGGAATGTTTTACCCGTTTCTCTTGGTCCATCCACAAAGAAAACTTGACTTTGTTTATTATTGATAACATTTATAATGGCATTGAATGCAATTAATTGATCGTTATTTAATTTAAGCACAGATTCTACATCTTCATTATCTACCTGGATGGATAACTCCTCTTGTATAACCCTTGGCATCAAAGAGCTATGAGTATTCTCCATTGTTATTGTTGGCAAATCATAATTTGTGATTTGTTTTCCATGTTGAATCAAAAACTCATTCAAATCCTTTAATAACATGTTAATGAAACTTGTTGTCGCAGAAACGCTTGTTGAAGGATAGTCTTCCATCATGTAGGTGTAAAAATGATCCCAAAGTTGTCTAACATTGGTTGGTTCACAAAAGATTAATATAGTTACAAACAAACTCCTTAAAACATAAGGCATTCGTAGACTTGATGC